CGGCACCGGAGGCGGTGTGGGAAGATCCTCAACAGCAACACGCTTCAAGCCAGAACCTGACGAAGTCTCTCCCTCGCGCTGGCGCGATGAATCACGACCAATGGCACGCTTCAATGCACCAACTGCTGACTGCTCACGCACAATGTCCCCAGTCTCACTCGACTCTTTTCGCACCTTGGCCTTAGCCGATGTTGCGGTTGGTGGAGGTTTGACACGCTCTTCAACTGGCGGCTTCTCCTCAAACTGTTCCTCGCTCACTGACGGTGACGGCTTGCTTGCAGATGGCCTAGGGGCCTTGGAGCGGAGCTCACGGGCACGCTCACGAAGAGTCTCCGGTTCCGCCGACACTGAATGCTCTGTGGCCTCCTCAGTTGCCTGCCTCGCGATCGAATCCTCGGTCGCTGAAAAGTCAACACCTGATGCCACTTCCGGCGATGCGCCGGGAACCTCAGGAGCAATGTCACCAACTGCTGCACGACGAGTCTCACGAGGCTCACCTGTCACCGTGTCAACACTCTCACCTTCTGCAAGCTCCACGTCCTCCTCGGGAACCTCGTCGTCCTGGGACGCTTCTCGATCCCTGCTGTCGTCACGGACAGGGCTCAATCCACCTTCTGGAACCCACACCCAGCACTTTTGCCACCGACCACGAGGCCTCGAACGGGATCTCTCTGTCTGTTCACTCGGCGTCTGTGAGCGCCTTCGACGGTCGCGAGAACGCTCTTCAACCAATGATTCACCCTCGGACTCCGACACTGGCCTTGGTGGTCGTCTGGTCTCCCAAGTTTCTACGACACCAGGAGGAGGAAACCTTGGCTGTCTTGGGCTCTGCGCCCGATACACCTCCCGCCTTGGAGGATCTTCGCGGGCAGGCCTTCTCTCTCTGCTCTCGCGAGCGTACTCTCGCTCGCGATCACGCCCACGCTCAACCCAAGGATCACGTCGTCGAGCGCTTCTTTCTTGTTCTCTATCTTCTGTCGGCAATCCACGTTCTCTTCTGGACTGCTGACTCGGCCTGTTGGGATCACCACCCCGTGGGCCACGACGACGCCGCGACCGTTCTCGCGGTGGCATGGATCGCGCCCGGAAGCGCGAGGCAACAAGTGTTCGAAAGAAGTTTCAACACAATGCCGATGTTCTCTTTTTGACAAGCTTGTCTCTCTCTATGTGTATGGTCTCGTTTCTTCAACCACTGATCTCCTTGTAGCTCTTGCGGCTGATAACCAGATAAGTTGCTCTTCCCTGGAAGTTCAACACAACGTTCAATCAACTCGTCAACCCGTCGATGCGACGTATCGATGGCGGGCAACGAACCTTAGTTTTTCCAGTCTTGAGCCAAATCAGGTTGGCGTCCAGTGACACAGTGCAAACGGCAAAGCCGATTACCGATGATGCAAGTCTTTACATGACAATTCCAGTCTTGGATAAGTGCTCCTAGACATCAACTATACATGACGTGTCATCATGAAGTGTGCAACCTCACTCAAAGCTCAGTTCTTCTTGAGGGCGTTTCTAGCTGAGGGATTTCTTCTATATATATATAGTGTATAAATCCATAGCAAACAACGCAGCAGTGCTTTGGATGTGATGTTGGTCTAAGGCACCTGGATGTCACTGGATGTCACTGGTCACTACTAACTCCAGTACTATTCCCACACTTTTAAGAGGCCAATACCGGGTTCAGTGAGCAGCGAAACGTTGCAAACAAAACCCGGCACCGACACACTACCTCCCTGGTCCCTGTCGGTCAATGGTCTTGCTTTGGGTGCCAGGAATTTCCAGGACTTACTTTGCGTTCGGTCCCAGGAACTTTCAGGGAATGGAGGATTCGGGCATGGATTCTCCCATACAAGCATTCACACGATAAGCGCATTCAAGCGCATTCACTGTGTGAGTGCCATTCTGGCGCCAGGCTTGGAGTTGCAGCTCAAGCAGGAACCGGGGAAGAAACCAACCAACAAATCCCGGATTCACCCAGCATTTCATGTCATCGGTCGCCCGCGTTCAGAGCTTTTCACTCGGCGTTGTGCCAGGGGATTCACCATATTCACCCAGCAACTGGGTTACAAAGAATCACCTGATTCGCAAGCCGACCAAGTGAGCCAACCAGGATGCTCCACTCCTCCCACCAAAAAAGGCCAAGCCGCGTGGACCCCGGCGGAAATCCCCCCACGCGCGCGCGCGACCCCTCCGCTGCTCCGCTGGTCCCCTGGGCGCGACCGGACCATGTCCAAGTATTGCTGTTGCGACTGATCAGCCTGCCAGTGCCGCAAAACAGGAGCACTTCGCACCAACTCTTAGATGGTGATGCGTCATCGTCATCTCTTCGTGTTTCTTGAGTTCTGCCCACCTGTGAACCAGGTGAGTTTCTCAAACGGAGATGCTCCCAAATGTTCTGTGCTTTCCAATGTCTTTCCTCGTCAACTTGAGTCAACTCCTTCAAATCACCAGCGGTTTTGCGAGTTCCACTCGTTCCACCTATTATATTATATAAGTCCTTCGATCCCCGAGGAAGTTGCAGGATTCCTCTCGGAAGCCGTTTGGGTCTCAGATCGACCCCCCAGTTCGACTCCCTGGAAGAAGGAACATAGACCAGTCTACCCATTGCGCCAGGGGGTCTCCTGTCAACATACACACCCACATACACTTCCCTGAAATCGTCATGGTTCCGTGGAGGAGGAGTTCACCGCCTGTTTGATGTTCAGAAAATCATTGTCATCCTTTCCCATGCCATCCACGCAACCATATGCAACCATAATGATTCCAAGGAGTGCAGACCAAGTTGAACACCGTTTTCACACCTGCCCCAGTTGAGGGCGCAGAACCACCACCCATTTTTCGTCATGACGATTCCTGAAGGTCGAGCTACAATAGAGGATGTGCTAAGAATTCCACGTTGAAAAAAAGCAGATGGCCTCCAACCTATTAGCGATGGCCTCCAACCTACGAGTGATGGCCTCCAGCCTCTACAAGAAATGGTCTCCAACTTAAGGGAACCAGGAACATACAGAAATCGTCTTAGAGTCTCGGTAAGGCCTCCCACAAGGCTCTGAGGAGGGTATTTGTTGCAGGACAGCGGCTTGGAGTCTGGAAATTTTACACCACCCACCACTCCACATGAAGACTTGCACTACTTGTGGGGCAATGTGTATGGCGGTTTTAATGAAGGAGGAACCACATGCGAATTCAAGATACGTAGAGCGTGCCCAGAAAGAAATGTTGTCCGAAAAGTTGTTTGAGTGGATTCATTCATAATTATAACCCTTATAACTTCTTCTCTTCCTGCATTGCGCCATAGGGATAAAAGGTGGATTATGATGATTTATGCAAACACCTTGGTGTATTCATATGTGAAGGCTCATGATTATGGCCCAAGAAAAAGACAGTTTATAAGGCTACAATGAAAGACTGTTGAGATGCAGGGTGCAAGGGCCGTCCCAGTCCCAACATCCCTAAGATATCCTAAGATCAAGGTCCCAGTCCCTGGATGGATTCTCTTTCAGGTCACCATCGGATGGTGGGGCCTCGCACTGGCTTGTTCCACACACTGGAGGCGTTCCCAGCGCTGAATTCGGTCCGTTCTGATCCATCTCACAGCCCGCCACCGTCTCACACTCTGGGATCGAGGTGATCACTGATCACACCAGTGCTCAAACGTGATCACACTCTCATCGAGCACCATGCCACCTACCTCTTACTACTAGTAACAAGAAGCTACTAGGAACAAGTGCCTTACTAGTGGTAACAAGTGCCACGCTACTAGGAGCAAGAAGCTTGTTGTGCCCAACGATCGATCCACCCCGCTGCGCCGCGGCCCGCGCGCGCAAAAGACAGACCCGGGTGCCGGGCCAAGCTTCCGGTCGCGACGGAAGGATCCGCCTGGATCCGGGGGTTTGACCGGTACCGGTGGTGACGGGTGGATGAAGAAGTGAAGGACTCAATGACGGGTTAAGATGTGAGTCAATCAATCGATCAATCAATCAATCAAACAATTCATCAGATTAACATGTTGGGAGAGTAAGTATCGATGATGTAGTATGTTTTGTTTGGTGGCCTGATGTCACATGAAGAATGACCTTTTTCCTTGGCTTAGAAGCTATATATCATGGTGCGTATAGTGAGTGATCCCGTGTGCTTGTTCTAACCCTAGAAAGGGCACGGCAGTCACCAAAGTCACATCTTTAGACGTCAGTTTCTTCTCACAGCGAAGAAAGCACCCACTGCCAGGTCACGACGCACATCTTGGTTCCCAAGCCCGGTCCCACCACATGTCTCGCACGTCAAGAACGCACATTTTAAACGAATGACAATATCTTAAAGTCAGAACAAACTTCCTGGTTCTTCAGTTCGTGACCGAACTTGATATGTTACTTAAGAGGTCACACGTTTTTTCCTGTTTCGCCTGTTTGACAGGTGGCTGAGATTCCAAAAGGGTCACGAGTCACGAAGAAACTGGATGAGCCTACGTTGATACCAAGTGGATAATCGGCCCACCCCGCCCGCCCCAATACACGGGAAACACCAGAAATTGATCAAAAGCATGCTAGGATTGTACTGCCAGTGATTGCGGTCCGGAACCCTGTAAACAGAGCCACACCGCACCAGTGACAGCACCTGGTCCTTTGTGCTACAAATCACGAACTTCATGAACCCACAGCTTTGAACCGAGTGTCGCGTTCGTTACGGCGCGTTCGTCTGCCGGCGCGGCCTGAGGCTGTGTATATTGCAGAGGCTGCGCCTGCTGTGTTTGTGGCACCTGGAACCGGGCCACGAGCATTGACGTTGCACGTGTTCCGGCTGTCCGGTGTGGAAGGACGCGTGCACAACATGCATGCTGAACACGTTGGAAGCGATCGGCGATCGCTAAAAACGGATGGAAAGAACATCCTAGGTCACCTGACCATGGAAACGAAGCTTCGTTTCGTTCCCTCCAGTGTTTCTTGCCTACAATTGGAGGGTTGAGTTGCTTCCATTTGTAACAATATGTTGTATATATCGATCTATCTCCCCTCCAATGAGCTGTTCTTCAATGCCTCGGAACCTGAAAGAACATCACCTCTTCCCCATGTCCGACCCAGGAACCGACGGATCGTCCGCCGGTCCGGGTCATCCGGAACCGACCGACCGGGCACGACGCAGTCCGTCCGATCCGAGCGACGCGGGGGCAGCCAGTCCTCCCTCCTCGCCCCTGCAACGGTCCAGTCCGGGTCTCTCTTTTGACTCAGTTTTACTCCACGGTCCAGGTGGCAATGACCTCCACCCTAGTAGCAATGCGATGACCTCCACCCTAGTAGCTTCTTGTTACTAGCTAGTAATGGCCTCCACCCTAAGATATATAGTATAGAGTCATTCCTTCCACCACTACCAGTTCGGGCTACTACCAGTACTTACTCATGAGTCATGACTGGACTCTGGATACGGGCTGGTGTTGGGCCATCCATGTTATCGATCTGGCGCCACCTATCGGATCATTTGGTTCTAACAGAAAGCTATGATATCAATGTCCATCATCGAAGAAATTCAGAAATGATCGTCAGGAAAGCGAACGTCTTTGTGGCGCACGCTGCGCACGCCGCAGCGGCGAGGCAATTCGCTTTCCTTGGCGAGCTGCCTGACTCTGTGCCCCCTGGTAGCTGCCGTAAGCCACCACCTCGGCTATAGCCAGGGGGTTGTGGGGAGGTTGGAATCAGTGTATGTCCTTGGAAACTGAAACTAACTTGGTTGACCAAGTTGACCATGTTGTAGATGGCACAAACACTCACACATCCACCACCCCACACCCCAAACACGCACGCAAACAATTTGATGGCTTTGATGATGGGAACAGGGGTCTATCTCTTTCTGACCACCACGTGGCCCTCACTGATATATGGGGGATGGGGGATGGGTCTTTCTTTTCACCACCATGTTCGCCCGGCCTGTCCACCAAGTAGTGAACGACTGACACAGGTATCCCAGTGCGATGACCTCTGGCAAACACTCTGACGAACACCTCACGTGGTTACGTGGATGGCCCTGGTCCTGGTGGGTCAGACGACTTTCCTTTACAAACAGGGTGAATTCCACTGCGCTTTGCATGTGTTCGTTCTTTAGTGTTCGTGGGGTCTGCGAAGCTGCATGTACGCCAGTGTGTACGTCTTCAGTGTGTGCACCTCTTCAGTGCAGGATTCTTGCTCCGCCTGTGGGCGCTTGTTCAAAGGCCTCGAGACCCATCGGCGGAGTCTCACATGGGTCGGCGTACAGTGAGACTCCATGGGTCGGCGACCGTCATCGAAACTCCTCTACCAAAGTGGTGGAACACTTCGCGTCGAAGGCCGTCCGAGACCATCTGGGGATGGAACAGTTCGGTCAGCTTCCATGATGGGAGGGATGGTAAACTTTGCTACCCTCATGGCTGAATGAGTTACGTATAATTACAGTATACCGTATCTGATCTCCCTGGTGCCAAAGACTGCGGAAAAAGTTGAAAAATACAGCATCATTCCCATCACATCCCTTCACCACTTTTTGCCGACCGTCCACTTCCGCTGTTATACATCACATTGCTTTGTTTTTTGTTGCAAAGGAGCTTGGATTGCAGAAACGTCCTATCAAGCTCGTCTTATCACCTCATGGTCCGAGCATGACACTAAAGCCCTTCAGACCTGCTTTGGAGATGAATCTTGCAACTAAATGTTCTGCCTTTTCAATCAAACTGCATCTGGAAAACGGCCAGGTTAGGCAAGCGTTTTGCATCTAGTGGGAAGCTTCAGGAATGTCAGCATTCATTGCCACTTTGCTTCGCCCAAACATCCAATCCTCAAGTTTGTGGTACTTCAGCCACTCCACTGTGGTCGTTGAAGATGTTGAAGCAACCATGCATTTTACCGCTCACAAACCAACATTGAAACATATCAAATTTCATGCACCACGTTCCCGCTGGCCCAAGTTCCCGCTGGCCGACCCGTCCAACGTCGGAGGTTCATACCTCTCTGTGCATCCGAGATACCCCTGAAGCGCCGCCAGCACCGGCCGGCTGCTGCAGGTAGTTGTAGGGGCCTCCAAACGAAAAAAACACTACCCTGGGAGTCAAAGACTATAAAAAGAATGGCCTGGCTAGGGTACCTGATTCCGGGAATTTCCTATACTGCCTATACTTCACTAAGGAAAAGTGTAGTCTTTGGACTTCTATAGGGAACTAAAGCGAAGCGGACCCCTCCTGGGAAACCCTGGGAGGAGGAGCACCGAGTGGTTGGTGTCATCGGTGGGTGGGTGGAAAAGATCTCCCTGAGTCATTGGTGTACGCACAGGGCCGGATCTGGCCTGGCCGGAAAGACATGTGTGATCACATTGGATCCATCCGAGCCCACGTCCTCCTTCTTTCCATCCTAAACGAACATACAGAATATCTACCTGAAAACCATTGAAAACCCTCTGAAAAAAGAAAAGAAAACACCCCAATGTAGGTCAAATAAGATCAAATAAGTGATTCAATCGCATGTAGCACTGAACTCCGCTGGGCTTCCGGGCTTTGCCCCAGGCCATAGCCTGCTGTCGCATAGGCCTTGGTCCGCAGATTCGGCCCGGAAGCGACTTCGGTCCGTGGGCAGGAGAAGAAACTTACGGATTTACCACCCCCATACACTCCATGAGACTGACATAGAAAAACCTATCATTGGGCCTGGGGTGGTTGAAAAGAGGTCAATGTAGATAAAACGGATAAAAAAAATACCAAAAAAAAAAAAGCAACGCTTTCGAATACATTCTTAGGTGGGGATTATGGAGGGAGGAAGTTGTATCAAGGAGGCCTGGGCAGAACATATCCGCAATTCCTTGCTAGCCACTAGCCAAGCCTGGTTGTTCGATCTGCCCAGTAAGGGTGCTCTCCTGTCGTTCTATCGTAACATCGGCTGTTCTACCAAATTGGCATCTGACCACTACTCCTACGCCGCAACGCCCTGACCACGTCGCTCAGTCTTGGAGCCCCCTGCTGTGGGATTCGCTGGATAAGTGGCCGCTTGCTGTCCATACGGCGCCTCCGCACCGCCCAAAAACACGCCGAAAACACGGCGGTGACCACATCTGGGACGCATGCGATCGCATCGTCGAAAAACGGCTGAATCGAGATGGAACTGGTCATCAAGCGTTGGAATGTCGGCAAAAAGAAGCGCAGAACTGCACGTTCGTTTGGTGAATTCATGGTGAATGATTGAGATCGTGCATCATTTGGAGATCGACCCAAACTTTTCCGCCGACGTCAGTGTTTGACTCTTGCAGAGACATCTCCCAAGCGTCCCAAGCCTACACAAACTTTGGTTGTACAAGTAGAACCCAAAGCCAACTTGACAATACAGGAGCTTCGAGCAACAAGCCATCATGAATTGGTTTCAAGTGATCTTCAATCTGTGTCTGGGAGAAGTATCTGCCAGTTTCGATTGGACACTTTTGCCTCTACAAGACGCAGTTGGAAAGGCAAGGAAATTTTGTCGATTCCCCTGATGTTCCGCAATCGGCAAATCGAAGATGTTCACATCCAACAACATCTTCCACCAGGGAAAGGTTGGTTTATAGACACCCCTATAACGATTCCGATGTGTTTTCATGTATGCTTCCAATCACCACCCTCTTTATGCGTGGAGCTGGTGTGTTCACCTCAATTCCTTTTGTCTTCCTCCATTTCATCGGATGAACTGTCTGGATCTTCCAACTGTGCAAACTGTCTGCCTAACCGTTCAAAGACTCGAGCCGCGTCAGTCAGTCCGCGCGTCGACGACAGACGACGCGTCGACTCGCGTTTCGCGCCCCGTAGCCCGGTGGAGCTCCATAGGTAGAAGCCGCCTGCAGAGATGAGGGATGCATATCTCATATCCAAGTCCTTATATCCGCGATGTATCCAATGAACTGCTCAAATGGAAAATTCTGTAGAAGAACTCGATCACGGTTTTCTCCCGTTCGCCGTTTTCGATCCCAGCTTGAAACTGCCCAGCTGAAATTGAAGGGTAAAAAATTGGCCCCAGTCCCCAAAATAGGTGACCTGGTAACTTTGGAGGGATTTGGAGACTGCTGGAGGAGCCATTTTTTTGAGCTCTGACATGAATGCAAAGTAGATAGGAGCATGTAGGACCCCTTGCAACTGCAATGCAATCACCAAGCCTGCCAATACAAAACATCGGTCTCTCGTCTGGATCCGTAAGTGTTGCCATCGATCTGATTCGAGCCTATGATCACATAGAGTGTGTTTAAAGAAAAAAAAAGAAACGTTGACATGGAGATACATGGAGTGACCTCGGAGTCACAAGTCCATCCGACTGTCCAATCACGTCCATTCCGGGTTGCCAAGCACATCCCCCAACCACCGATGGGTCGGATTCGGCGGTCGCTGCCCGCGGTTCGCGGGGACGAAGGGGGCGAGGTCGGATCCGCCCGGTTCCTTCACATCGAGTCGAGAAAGTGGAGATCCAAAAGAGTCTTGAGACTCCAGCGTGGGTCCTCTGGTGTGCATGGCACGATGAAGAGTCGTGCCGCACATGATCAACATTGATCAACCAATCACCCCGAACTTCGAAGATATCGGAGAACGCGGAACTTGAGGCGGACAAAAATTGGTTTGCTGGTGGGCCGGACGTTTCTTGGTGCCGAACTTGTTTTCAGAGTCGAATGAGATCGGACGACAAAACCAAAGGACGCATCGAGAGAACACCAGGTGATGACGTCGTGAAAAACTGAGACATCTTGGGAACCAACCAGCCGAAAAATTGCCCCCCCCTCCTGCAACAAGAAATCATGTTTTAAAACACTGGCCTAACGAGAAACCTGGAGAATTGTGCACCAGGAAGCAAGGTTCACAAGATCGTAACATGATCACGTCTATTTAAAAAAAAAAAAAAAAAACGTTGTTGTGTTTGAGAAAATATTTCCTGCCAGTTGTAATTACTAGTTACTAGAAACAGTTAGTATAGTCATACTTCAGTCATTGTTTGGTCATGTTTGATTCCTCTTCAACCCTGGTGTCCCGCAATCAACACTGCACCAAACAAAACCGCCTGTGGCGGATAGGCTGTGCCATAACCGCTGCTGGCCGTTGCGGCAGCTGTCTGATAGGCCTGCTGCCTTAGGGACAGTGCTATGAAGCCATGCTAGTCCGGCAGACAGTCAGTCAAATGCAATCAAAGATTTACAACAATGCGAACACAAATTTCTCAGAAATTTCAGGGGTTCACGCCCAACAGCAGCAGGGAGTTCAGTGGCAGGCAGGGGAAAGCAGGGGGAGGGGCAACAGGAAAGGAGGGGGGTGTTGTGGTCGTTGTGGTTCTTGTTGTGGTGGTGGTGGTTGTGTTTTTCTAGTGGTTCTGGTTGTTGTTGCTGTTGCTGCTGTTGCTGCCAGAAACAGAAAATGCAAATCATGCAAGGCAATTTGCGCAGCATAACTCGCACCTTCGGGCTACCTTGAACCATCTTGAAGGAACGTGCCAGGGCAAGACCCTGCTGGCCCGATTTCTGGTTCTTGGCGAGAATTGCCCTAGTCCCGCCCACCAAACAGTTCAGTGGCCGGCGACAGGGGCACACAGGTGAGATTTGTATTTGTTGTTGTTGTTGTTGTTCTTGTTCTTGTTCTTGTGTTCGTTGTTGTTGTGGTGTTGGTTGGTGTTACCGGCAACTTGGGCGCCATAACCCGCATGTTGGGCCCTCTCGAGCCACCTTTGAGGAATGGGGTGCACCCTTACGAACATGTTTTAAAAAAATGATTTTTGAACCTCTTTGCCATTGTGTTTTGTGTTTTGTGCGTTCGAGAGCCAAAACACAAGCATTCACACGTTTTCTTCTACTACTACTACTACCACTACTATTATTGTTACTACTACTACTACTACTCCTACTCCTACTCCTACTACTACTACTACTACTACTACTACTACTACTCCCACTGCTACTTCTACTGCTACTGCTACTACACCTGCTACTGCTACTATTGGCACAGACACAAAAATCCAGAACGGGTGCTCCTGGGAGATGTTTTTCATGCAAAAAATGATGCAAAAACACTCTCTCCAAAATTGATGTTTTGAGCAATTTTTTGATCAATTTTGTGAGATCCAAGCCTATCCCAGTTTAGAGGGACTACAAAAAAACAATAAACAAAAAAACAATAAACCAGAAAAACCACCATGTTTGAGACAAAATGCAGCCAACATCAAAAAACCAATAGTGCCCCCATTTTATCATTGGTGTTGCACATTGATAGTGGGCAGACGTAGACCTGTTATTTGTTATTGACATTGGACATGGAGACTGGGCACAGACAAATCAAAAAAATTGCGTTTCGCCTAGTTCTCAGAGCAGCTTTTGAAATTTTGCACGGTATTTACCGTGTTTTCTAAGGGTTTTGAGGTAGTGCGCGCTCTCCCAAGCACACCCACCCTCCAAAAATACTACTACAAACAGTAGTAGTACTACTACTAATACTCACTACTGCTACTATACAACTACTTCTACCGCTAACACTACCACGACTACTCTACTGCTACTACCACTACCACCACCACCACCTTTACTCCTACCACCACAAACACCACTACGACTGCTACTACTACTCCTACTGCTACTGCTACTGCTACTGCTACTACTACTACTACTACTCCTCCTCCTCCTCCTGCTGCTGCTGCTGCCCCTGCTGCTGCTACTGCTACTGCTACCGCTACCGCTACCGCTACCGCTACTGCTACCGCTACCGCTACCGCTTCTGCTACTGCTACTGTGGCTACAATTTCCACCGCAACAGCAACGACATTAACAACTACCACTACTAGCAAGTCTGGCCAAGACATTCATCCGTATCACGGACGAGTCACCGAGCATCCTAGGAAAGAAGACCTACTGCCGCCAACGACATCCTCAGGATTTCTGGAGCTTGCCGTGAGTCTCATGATTTGCCATGCGTTGCGTGTTGACAATCACGCGCGCGCGTGGATCCATTTCAACACGGAGCTGTCCATTCGCCCATCTGCGGTGGCGTAGTCGTCCGGAGCTGCCGTCGCCAGGCCATCTGCCGCAATCTGGCAATACTCCCCCGCAGTCAGTCCGGCCTCCAGTTGGCCAACCGGCCCCAAAATGCGATCTAGGGAGATCCCTACAAAGTCGTCGCCTGTTGCCGCAGCTTCAGTATCAGCATCGGCATCATCCCAATCAGGCTGCTCAACGTAGTCAACCATGATATAGGATTTCTCACTCTGGACGTCTGCAAAACCTTCGTCATCCGCCTTCTCGGCTTCGGTCCTGGGCGGAGGAAGAGGAACTTCGATGGGAGGAGCGTAGGGGCCGGCTCCTGATGCCTTGTGCTCTTTGAGGTTCTTCTCCCATTCATCAAAATCGAGAGTGTCACCCTCATCTGGTACCTCCCACGGGTACTCCTCGACGAGCTCTCGACCTCCCAGGGGCGTCGGCATATCGGGGTAAAGTTCCTTCATGATCACCCGGTGCCGCTCGTCATGTTCATCCTCATCGAGCTCTTCGGCATCGATTGGGAGCCAGTAGCGGCACCCTCAGGATCAGCACCAAAGCCGCAGCATCCAGCCCCAGCACCAAGTTTCTCAACGCATCTCAACGCTCCCTTGTACGTCATGAATGAAGCTTTCAACATTGCAAAGTAAAAAAGAAATGCTTGAGGAAACTGTTCCTCGTGCTGCATCAGTTTCTTGAACAATTCCAAGTTGTGGCCCGGCGATCCTGAAATTGACTGAAGGTTCAAGGTCAATAAGGTTCAAGGTCAATCATACTGAATCATCACCGCGCCACACAGCACTATCACAGCGCCACACAGAACCCTTAGCCCTTATTAATCGCATCGAGCTCCGCGCCTGCCAAGAAACCCTGAAAGAACAGCTCGAACAGCACGAGGACATGGAAGTGAGCTGCTGGTCCCCGAGTGTTCCAAGTCGCCCTCGGCGCTCAAGCTTCGCATTCCAAGTGGTCTCCTTCCACTGACGAAGATTGCCCTCGAAGTTCTGATTCTGGGCCAGAACCTGGTTGCAACGCCGGATCTCATTCAGCACCTGACACTACACTGTTGGAGCGTGGAGCATCAAAGCCATGGCCCGCGAAGTGTGAGGTTAAAGTCGCCCTCTTCCGCCCTCTCTCGCTCAGTGGGAGGGGCGGGTTCGACCTGGTCGATGTTGACACCCGGAGCGCTGACCTTAGTCCACATGCCAAAATCAATCATCTCAGACTCTGCGACCGAGTTCCACTGGTTGTCCATGGTGTCATCTGCACCATCAGCAATGGCCTCATCCTTGTCCGCCTTCTTGATTGCGTTGATGCGCTCCTCTTCTTCATCCGATTCGTCGCAGTCTTCAGGTGGATGTAGCGCAGTCTGCTACTACTACTACTACTACTACTACTACTACTACTACTAGGACTACGACCACGACCACGACTACGACTACGACTACCACTACCACTACTACCACTACCACCACTACTACCACTACTACCACTACTACCACTACTACCACTACTACTACTACTACTACCACTACCACTACCACTACGACTACTACTACTACTACTACTCCTACTCCTACTCCTACTACTACTACTACTACTACTACTACTACTACTACTACTACTACTACTACCATGACTACTACGACGACTACTACTACTACGACTACCACTCCTTGCTACTTACTACTGGTTACTTGGCAGTAGCAGTGGCAGCATAAGGAGTCGTAGTGTAGTGGTCGTGGTGTAGAGTAGTAGTGAGTGGTAGTGGTAGTGCTAGTAGTAGTACTAGTAGTTGTTGTTGTGGTGGTTGTAGTAGTATTACTATTAGTAGTTGTAGCAGCAGCAGTAGCAGTAGCAGCAGCAGCAGTAGGAGTAGTAGTGGTAGTAGCAAGTAGTAGGAGGAGGAGTAGTAGTAGTAGTAGCAGTAGTAGTAGTATTAGTAGTAGTATTAGTAGTAGAACAGTAGTAGAACAGTAGTAGTACAGTAGTAGTACAGTAGTAGTGCAGTAGTAGTACAGTAGTAGTACAGTAGTGGTACAGTAGTAGTACAGTAGTAGTAGAAGAAGTAGTAGTAGTAGTATAGTAATAGTAGTTGTTGTTGTGGTGGTAGTAGTAGTACTACTATTAGTAGTTGTAGCAGCAGCAGTAGCAGTAGCAGTAGCAGCAGCAGTAGCAGGAGTAGTAGTGGTAGTAGTAGGAGTAGTAGTAGTAGTAGAAGTAGTAGTAGTAGTGGTTAGTAGTAGTTAGGAGTAGTTAGTAGTAGCTAGGAGTAGTTAGGAGTAGTTAGGAGTAGTTAGTAGTAGTTAGTAGTAGTTAGTAGTAGTTAGTAATAGTTAGTAGTAGTTAGTAATAGTTAGTAGTGGTTAGTAGTAGTTAG